TTTCCCCTAATTATGGAGTAGAAGACAAGAAGGGTCCATAACACGTCTAAGACACCGTCGTCAAAAGGACACTATGTTCACACACACATCACACACACAACACACACACCACACACACCACACACAACACACACCACACACACACACACACACACACACACACACCACACACACACACACACACACACACACACACCACACACCACACAACACACACTACACACACTACACACACAAACTCACACCAACACAACAGAGACAGAAAAGAATACGGTTTTATTTATGTAGTAGAAAAAGGGGAAGTTCACAGTGAAATTTATTAAAAAAATAATTATTATAGTGGCTACATTAAAGGAATTGTTTTATATTACGTCGGAAATACCCAGTCTATGTAACACAATATAGTATGTTTTACGTGCTGTTTGTGTGACCGTGTGATATTACTTATCTCATCATGTTTTTACGTAAGATATATATGTATTGCAATCTATGTCGCAAAATGTGTCACTACACCGACTTGTCAGCGCTAACATAATCGTCTCTACGTTAAGGAACATATTATGCTTTAATTTTAATTACTTTATCGTATGATATGTTTTGTGTAATAATGTAGTTGATGTGATAAATTGTAATACATTGTGCAGAGATCGGTCAAGTTAATAGAATATAAACGGAAAAGCCGTTTAACTAGAATATGTACCAACCACTATAACTGTAAAACATGCCCGTCCGAAATATTAGCTAACATACGACGGGAATTATTGCTAGGATCATCAGACTTAACCCGAACGTGACAAGTACTGGTGGGAATGGGGCAGCGAGTGTCCTTTGTGCGTCCCAAACAAACTTGCGTCTCAAACTAGTCGACGACTGGAGTGACTAGGTACAACGAAATGTCCAGGTCGTCGTTACCTTAAATGTATTAACAATAACTTTTTGTGTAGATTCAGTGTAAAAATAGTACCTCGCGTAGACCGACATATGACACAGTTGGCAGTCTAATCACTGTAATCTGACTTTTATTCAGAGTAAACCGGTAAAATTTAATAACGTTCTCCAGTCTGTTGACGCAGTCGTTCAGAGACGGCTATACTTGAGGTCGAACATAATTGGATTTACTTGATTTTAGACGACAACGAGACAATTGCTTTCGTGTAAACCACCCGAAAATCACAGGGGGGTGCGGATCTATTTCTTGTAAAGAGTCGGTACCGAATTGGTATAGTTGTACTTCGTGTAATCCAATAAAAGGTATAAATGTACAGGGTTGAGAGTACTGAAGGATTCTATCATTTGTATGTTGAGTAATTTGACAAAAGAGCGATTTATCTGTAATACCACCTAAATCTAACACGTTGCGTACCGGACTGTGCTAGCCGCGCACTGGGGATACACGGTACAAACTGCGAATTTTTTTTACGTTAATGCGGTTCTACGAGGTTTTACCGGTACATAACAAACAATTAACACACAAAGGTTGTTTTTGGGTCGTTGTACAAAAGCGCCACTTTTGGTGGGTGACAAAAAGGTCGCATTAGCCGAAAAACTCCATGTAGTGGCGACTAGAGAAACGTACTGAACACTGCCGGGGGGACAGCTGCGACAGTGTATTTTTAAAGGTCGACCCCTAGAGCGACAAACTTTCGGTCAATCTCACTTTTTCCGACACCGCGGGAGAATCAGACTCAGAAGGTGACCGACGGTCATTCCTCGACAGCGTCGTTAAGCCGGTACATCTCCTTGAACACCTACAACCCTAAATCGAACCCCGTGCGGTCACCGCTCCGTTGGTCCTTGCAACGGTCTAACTTGTCTACGGTCGTTTGGTCGGAGAACATGCGGCGCCAGTCGACTTCCCCCTTTTTCATGACGTATGTACTTTGAGTACATGAGTCAGCTCCTTTTTGGTGTTATATGGTGAACACGTAGACAATGTTTAATATGAAGACTTCCTCTTTGCGACTTACTTTAGCGACGGTTGTAACTTACCTATGTCCCTGAACTCGCCCACCGACGGATACTTGTACAATTGAAATTCATATCACAAACACCGTACAGTCGCTTTTTCACCGGCATACTGTCCAATTACATTCTATTCGTGTGACCATCGTCATAGGACAGCGAATAGATTTACTGAGACTTCACATCTTTTCACAAGTTGGAGACATCCTGCTTTCCACATATCCCGTATGGACTGTCACCTAGACTCCATCACATTAGGTTCTGCTTCGGACACCGGGCCGAAACGACGGTTAGTATGCTACCGTCGGTACCCGTTTGTACTAACAGACATTTTCGTATTCTGTCTTTTATAGGCGACACTTATACTCGATACAGGGCCCAGGACGTACAAGTAAACTCGACCGTGTTTAACAAATCTGCTTTCCAACTCCTGTCGACCCCTTTTTTTACAAATAAAACAAAAAGAACCCTTGTACACCCCCCGGACTATTCGTCCTCCGTCTCCTAGCTTAAACTATCTACAGACCGGAGACTCCGCGACTCGGATATATGAGCGAGACATTTGAGGAAAATATTTCGTAGACGGGATACCCGTATAAACTTGTGTAACAAATAAAGATCCACTCCAGACCGAAAAAAAGGGGAAGCGGTAAACATGAGCGTCTCTCTATAAAACAAGGTGAACTTTCTTTCAAACTTTTTGTTTACGATTTTTCTCCTTCCTTGTTCTTTCTTCGTTGTCATTGAATCGTAGTACGGTAAAACAGTACTGCGCCACAGTTTATAGCGTAACTCCTACACTCGTCGGACCTTTCGCCTTGCGACTTTGGAGCCGAGAAGGGACTCTCTTCTTTTGCCTTCTAAAAGATGACAAACGACGCTGAAAATAAATCCGTCATTACATGCTATTGGTAAAATCGTCTGTAGGGGTTCACCGTATGTTTAGCAAAGACCTCTTCTTCATTTTGTTCGATCTCAGATCATACCTGGACGAGTGCATGGGAAGTACGTCAAGTGAATAAAATGGTTTGCTCAAAGTAATTATGTTGGTGTGTACTGCATACAATTGGAGAGGACCATGAGGAGTTCTTAGCACACCTTAACGAAGTGATGGATTTATCGTTCCACTTCCTTAACCGACATTTTTTTTCTTTATTGGACATTTTCATCTAGTAATCCCGCGGGAACCTCTCGGACAATTCTGTCGGCGGCCCGCGAGAGTGGGACAGTCGTTTATTTTTTCTATGAAAAGTCAGTTACAGGGTAACGCACGAAACACTCTATTAGGAATATTTGCATGTTTTGTTGCCTAGATCACGTAAGTACTGTTCAAATTTATCTGTGATATGTGTCTAACATTTCCGTTCTGTTTTTTGTAGCTGCAATAAGTTCGTCCCAGTATAGTGTACTCAGTGTTCGATGAGGTGAAAACGATTCCGGTCTCTCTTTACCAGCACAGCGAAAAAGGTTAGTTTGTCTCTTCACTTCCGTCGAGAAAGACAAACTAGGTGAGTTCGTAGTAAAGGAGGGGGAAGGCAGGGGCGAGTCTTTCGAAGGTAACGAATCTTATTTCTTTCTGTGTCATGGGACAGCACTAGAAACTTACGTCGATCACCTCGTCTCCCCTCTCTGCAAAAGGGGGACGTTTGACCTTAGTAGGGAAATCGGAGCTAAAAAACGGGAAGAGCGAACAACGTCGGGTAGTTTATATGAACTAACGGTTTCGGAAAGGGGTCTTTAACTTACGGCTAGGTGGTGAGGGTTCGGTCACTCAAAGAGGTCGCGTGAGGGACTCTTCTTGTCCCGTTCCAAAAATAAGTCGTAATTAATAGCGATATAGGGACGCGGAGGAAAATCCCGTCGTAACCGAGTACGTCACAAGTCTTTTTTTTACATCAAGTCAGATTTTATTACGCGTTTGGGAACAAATTGGAACGTTAGTCGGTAAGTATAGAATATCGACTTTTTGGATGGTGGATTAAAAAACTTAACCCGTTAGAATATAAAAATCGTGATATACGTCCCGTAACAAAAATGACAATTGAAGGGTGTAACACATATTTAGTATAAAATTAATATACAGTACTGATAAAAACCTCCGTATATGAAATTAACTTTCTAAACATAACACGACAGGCCCGTATTTGGGGCTAAAAAAGGACCCTCCGATCGACCTTCATAAATCTAAACATAAGACTAATTATTGAGACTTGATGTTTAATGTTGACCGACTTGGCTTGTCGCACAAAGACATTTGCCGGCTTAGAAGTTTACCGAGGAAAGGCTGCTCGCGCCCAAGTTTCTCAGCAAAGAAAAATTCCGCGCGCCCCATTACCCCGCGCTGTCGGACGCTCGGTCAAGTAGGGGGGGGGAGTTGTCACAGCAACACACAGATATAGAACAAACTAAAAGAAGATATAAACTGGAAATGACAAGAGTCAAAGATAATACTTACCACAAACGTTTCCACCAATTTTTATATACACATAACCCTCGTTCCCCCATGCGGTTCCCCAGGAGTTTTGTACAATCCAGTGTGGAACATCCCCTTGGACAGACAACATGCATTTCAAGATTGAATTATTTACAGATAAAGGAGCACTTGGTGTGTGTGTGTGTGTGTGTGTGTGTGTGTGTGTGTGTGTGTGTGTGTGTGTGTGTGTGTGTGGCAACCACTTTAGACTGTTACATAATCACCCCATATCCTTTTGTAATGCCCACAAAACACAAGTATGTGTGTGTGAAATAATTCATGTTAGGGATTATACAATACTGATGTGTGTGAACTATGTCAAGAATGAAAGAGAGAGGTAGCTTTGATAATGTTCTGCTGATACCTTGTATCTTCAAAATGGACCTTTTAGAAACCTTCTGATCTTGGGACACAGTGAAGGGGTAACTGTCTGATTAATCAGAACGTCTATACTGAGAAGTCTAACGCAACATGAAGAAGTGCACACAAGAGTTCATGTTTGCCAACCCAGCTACTCATTGATCAACTTGGCCCAAATTGTACCGAAGGGGCAAATACTAAAGGTGAAATCATTTCAAATCCACACACTGTAAATACGGCTTGAATGTCAAAGTTTCACAACCTGCTTTCAATTCCTATTGGCTCTTAAAGTTACATAAATATGTCACCAGTTGCTTTACATAATGACATATTCACAAAGCAGTTCTACTTATTTCCAGGGTATTTTAGAATTGGGTGCTGATGCTTTCTACCAAAGTACAAAGTAAGAGTGAGGCAGTCCCTAAATTGACAAAATAAAGCTTAATTTGAAGTGGAAGCATGCGCTTGATATAATAAATGTATCATTTAGGACCTGTGTAATAAACTAAACAGCTGCTTGCTAAATATTCTCATCTTGTTATAGGATTTAATCAGGGAGGACGAGAGAGTCTTCTCTGGAGCCGCAATATATTATTAAGAGCAACATATTTTTACCTAAAAAACCTTGCCTAGTGCAGATTTAAATTACTTTCTCAGGCCCTGGGGATTGCAAAAAAAAAACTTCATGACCTAAAAGTGTGAATCCAGCTCCAGTAAAATACAACACCCTGGCTCTCTTTCTTGAATAACAATAAATTCTCATGCTAGTGCAGTGACAGATTGTACCAACAGTGTTGTATCCAACCAGCAGGACAGCATGGTTAGAGTGCTGGCTGGAGCAGTGGTGTTGGATGACTCCACCGAGGTAGTCCTGCCAACTGACAGCATCCACGACCACAGCCAAGGGCCCCCGCTCCACCAGCTGACCCATCATCGCCTCCTCCTGACCACTGAGGAGGAGTAATGGAAAACGTTTACTCTTGGGGGAAGAAGACTGGCCCTGGGATTACACTTGCTTGTGTCATCGTCATATGAACCATACTGTTGAGTCAGAATTGATCAGGATACTGTATGGAGGTTATTACTTTACATTTACATTTAGAGCTGACTCTTTTATCCAAAGTGTCTTAGAATAAGTGCCAAAACCATAAAGATTCAAACCACGGAACAACAAAGAAAGTGCACATATATTCACTTCAAGCTATGCATACCGTGCTGGTGAATTCATATCAAGGCTTACATTTATTTATTTGTATTTAATTGCAGGACAGTTTTTCCAGTTTTACTTATATTTAACAGGGTCTATTTTTTCTTCAATTTTCTCAGGATCAGCATCTAACCTCTCTCCCATTATTATTCATAACATTTTTTATTTTGCTCATTATCTCTGTTGCACATATGCAGGCACACTCTGACGCCCCATCTTGTCATTCCAGCAGATGATTCCCACCAGGGATATCTGCCATGCCCTCCTCTGCCAGGTCCATGACATGAGGGGCATGAAGTCTAGGTCTGTGCCAACACTATAATGAACTAGAAGGGCACCTGGAGAGTCTCCGCCAAGGCCATTTCCCAAATGAAATATAAAGTGTGTGTCCGCCCTGTGATGTGGATCTGCTGCAACATTTAAATGGGTTTGTCCTTGGGCAATGCTACAGTCTGCTAACTAGTTTCATAACAATCAAGCCAGTAATCTTTTGGTGATTCTGGTGACAAACTGGAAAGCTGAATATATAACCTTCTTGGAGCAGTAATAACAAAGCTATTATACACTTCTATTTCTGGGGAGGTTGAAACTTTACGATCCTGTTTTTCTTTTGCTGTGCAGCAGTAAAGCTCTGGCTTATGAGCCCCCTAACTAGAAGATTAAGACACCGCCATGACCCCTGAGTCTCGATGCACTCAATGACCAAGCACTCTTTCTGAAGAAGAGGACAGGTCAAAAGCACACTTTCATAATGGAAAAATATCATTCTTAAAATAAAGAGGTCTTTTAGTATAAGCATGACATTAACTCGGTTTGAAAACAATTCTATCTTCCTTTGCCCTGCTTTTTGGTTCTGTCTTAGAAACATTAAAAATGTATCACCTCTCCAAATCTGCTAAATGAAAAGCTACATCAAACAAGCTGTATGTAAGGATATGAACGAATTAAAAAAGAATGATTTATAAAGTTGGCAAATGTTAGAGCCTTGAAAACTCTGTTTAATACAAATTCAAACTTGAATCCACTTTGACAGAGGACCCTGACTCTTTCATCATGGAAATACAACAAGATAACACGCACGATAGATGAATGAGAATGAGTCACGATCCTGTTCAATATTAAATAAAGAAAATCTGATTTACTCAAGGTAACTCTGGTTTAGTCATTATGACCAGAGTTGAGCACCTTTGTGCTACTTAGCACTGCACGTCTGTGTTGACGCAGTAAACATTATGGTCTGTAAATGCGCACGACCAACCCCCCTCCCCTCCCCCTCCCCTCCCCTCTGTCCTTGGTACATCAAAAATTAAAAATCCATGTGATTTTTTTTCTGAAAAGCGCTTTTGATTTGTAGCCTTGATAGCTTGTTGATGACTTGGAGAGTCTTTTACCTGAAGTCATGTGCAGTGAAGTTCTTCACAGAAACACCGCCATGTGACTGAGAGAAGAAATGGCAGATGCCTGTCTCGGCCTTGTAGGGATACTCTGACTGAGGCACCAACTTCACTCGGGTCTAGAAAGAAAGTGTATCTCAGTGAGTGTGTATCAGAATGCAAAGTATCCATTTATCTTGTTTGTGGAAAGATCCAGGCAGTTTTCTAATTTACGTCTGACTAGAGACGGCAATCTTATTTTGCGTACCGCCTCTACATATCTCTCTAATTAAAATACATGACAGTATTACCTGATTTTTTCTCAAGCTAAATGGAAATACCTTCCCGCAGGTTTGCATTTCTATAAAGTCACTTTTATCTTGTCTATGTGAAGTATTGAAGGATTTTCTTCCTAGCTTTGTACTTACTGTACTGTACTGTAAACGACTTGTGAAGCAACCGGTTGAATCCATGAACATATGTTTAAGGTCTTTGATGATGGAAAAATATCAACATACCTGCTTCAACCAATCCAGGGCCTGATATGTGGATCCTCCATTGCATCCTTTATTTCTGAAGGAGCAGTCGAGAACCTGCTGCACACTGAGCTGCTGCAGCTGAGAGCCTCCTATGGCGTGGACCGATTGTATGGCACCGACCACGCTGAAGGCCCAACAACTCCCACACTGCAGAGGGACGTTTAAAGGAATGAGGAACTACAACTAAAAGGAAGTTTAAGGGACAACACTCCAAAGATTAATCATATCTTATTATCCCCATACAAATGTCCTTTTGCTTCCATTAACAGAGATGTAGGTGTCTCTCTGTGTCTTGGTTAGTGTCTATCACTGACTCATTTAGGAAGATTTGTTCCCAATTATAACAGTAAATGAGATTGCATTCGGAATCAAATAGAGACAGGGTTCTACAGTGAGTGTGATGAGGTTAGAAGACGTCTGAGTTGGTTTTCTGCTGCCCTCTACTGGCAGAAACAGCTCAGGTGTTCACATATTTGATGGCAAAAGTTGCCCTAATACTACAGGTTGAATGCAGATTACACTGCTTTCCACAATCCACTTATGGTATAGAGAAGAAATACAGTGTTTCATTGTTTAAGGGACTGCATATTTCCCTGTATTACATTTGCCAGGCAATCTCATTTTCTAAAGCGCATCAAACTCTGCTCAGTTCAGCATAAATGCCCCTAAATGTGATGAAAACCTGAGCTCTCGGTGTAAAAATCCAATATTGTGTTGCTCACTATGGTTCCATGGCTTTAAAATCAATACTGAAACCAAAATCAGTCAATATTGCTTGGAGATAAGTATGCGCCAAGTATACAAAATAGTAGGGGCCCACTGGTCTCTCCTTGAAAGCGATGAATTGCACTTGAGTCATAAAAGTGGAATCAAGATAAGGGGAAAGTGAATTTATGAAAACAATTTGTGAGATGTTAGCAGCTTGATATGTTGTGTCTTTGTGCGTGGTGGTACTGCATTTTATTTTCTGTCTATCAATATATGTGTGGTAGAAACTCATCTCAAGCATTTTTAATAGACAAGAGAACCAGAGAAAATAAATAGAAAGTCTGCACAGAAAAAGTGCAGCAGAGCAGATTGTTAGCGGAGTTTGGTCATGTAGTATGTACACACTCTCCCTGGAGGGATACGGCCTTACCTGGATTCAAGAGAACTAAATATATTATGGTGTAGGAGGTTTGCTCTATGGGGTATGTCTTTCCCTCAGGACAACGGTCTCACGGTGAAAATATCATACCCGCCGGCAAGTTGACTGACTGAAGAGATAAAGGACAAAAAGAGCACAACGTGTGACCCTTCACTGAGGACACGCAACAGCTCCATCTTTATAATAGTCACATTTAAGTGCCTAGTTTGTCCTTTGACCGATATTAAAGAGCCTTCCACTCAAATATGTAGTTTGCTTAGTGGTACTCAATGTTTGTCCTTCACTGCTCAGAAGTATGTCCTTCACTGCTCAGAAGTATGTCCTTGCTCACTTTGATAGTAAAAATGTTTTTTCAATGCATCTTGGGAATGCATTTTTGTGCTAACTTCGAATCTGTCAGGTGTCCACGTCCAACATGGTCTTATTTCACAACGATTTTGAAAGCCGTTCATACTGTGTGATGTGAAGAATTGAACTCACTTGTTTCACGTTGTTTAATTGATATTTGTGTTAATAAGTGTCGCTTATTAGTTTGGAAGTAACCCAACGGTGTCTCTGTAGCTACACTACCCTCCTAGTATTCAGTATATCTATCATCTTTCTGTGTAAACCGTACTGCTTCTTGGTTCTGGACCGGGGCCACCACCGCTTTGTCCCTCCAGTCAAATTTGGCAGGGAGACCTTCTGTCTTCAGTCCAGAGAAGAGAGGCGCTCTGTCAGCATGTGCTCGCAGGAAGAGATCTGTGGATAACAGATACAGGTCAAAGTCTATCCTGGATAACATATAAACTATGACTGTGCAGATTCAGCCAAGTCGTCCACAAGGGTGAGATGCTCAGTAATCCAAATCCTCAGGATAGATACAAAATAACCAAATACATTTCATTTTTGATATGTGACAACACTTCAGCCTACCTCTGAATTCCTTCTGAGAAAAGTCGGAGAACCGGTTAATGCCATATTCTGCAGACTGACTGTGGAGAATGAGTTCAGGTATGCATGACGCTTTGTTGAGTTCTGCAATAACACACATGACAGATTAAGGGTGAGTAAATTAACTGAAGGAGCATAACAATCAAGGTAACTCGATAATAATTGTATTTTTTTTTTGTTCTATTCTTGATAACACAACATGAGTGAGTCTGAAATAAATCCCACAAGCTATTTACATCTAAGTATCTAATCACTAACATTTATTCAAGTATTGTCATTTTATTTTCCTTCAGTATTTTCATTTCCGACTATGTAACATTTGAACAACAGTGGCCACGAATGTCCTTGAGTCATAAAGCTAATGAACTGACTCAGGAATGTCTCTTATACACGAATAACTTAATATTACCCACAATAGCAACCATAAACTGTCATACCAGACAGACAGTAACGTTTTGAATTATGCAAGGGTGTTTTACTGCTTATTAATTACACTTGTATTTGTTACTTTTTTTGTTTTTCAGTATGTAAATGCATTTTTCAATTGCAGGACGTTTAGGTATTGCCTCTCAATGCTTGTAATAACATGGCTCTTTGCATATTAATCTACAATCAAAACACCATTTGTAAATATTTCAGATAATTGATTTGACACAAAAACACATTAAATACAATTCCTTAATTTAGTGGGTGTGCCTGTAGTGACGTGTGCAGCAGTTTGTTTAAAGACAGTTGAAGCGTGTGTATGGGACTAAATGATGAGAAACACGAGTTTCTCATTGCTGTACCTCTGTGTTTCCCTTTGGTTCTTATCGCTTACCTGGACATTAAGATGACGACTTTTAAACTCCTCGCTGTTGACTTTATAAAAGCGGTGAAACTTCTCTGTGAACGAGTCGAAATCTTCTGCAGAGACATTCAACTTATTCTCCGTTTCACCCGAGCTCACACACAGCGGAAAGAGGAGAGTGGAAACGGTCACTACTACAACCAGATATGGATGTCCGCCCCTCATTTGAACAAGAAATATCGGTTGAAAACATTGAGGGTTTCAAACAGGTTTCAAAGGGAAGTAAACACAAAAGTGATGTTGACGGAAACAGTGAGGTAAAGCTACAGCGCATGCGCAGCGATCGATAGGCGCTTAAACAGAAAGTAAACACCAGTCAAAGGAAGGAGGCACTCAAATAATTTAATAGTGTTCAAATAAATACATACATTAATACATAATACAATGAGATGATACCAGGTATCCAATTGGAGATCTGTAAACGACTTTTTTTTACTTTAGTTATCAAAAATATATATTAAAAAAAAAGGCGTATTTACATTATGCAGAAATTAGGCCCTCATTATCTGACTAATGCCACATGGTGTTTTAGTTTCAGAATAATGTTGAAAATAATTTATACATTTGCGGTCTAAATGTATTTAATCTCTTTTTATCTCATGTATCTATTATTACTTACTATCATGAGTATAAAGATATGCAAACATCATTTTAATTATTGTTTTATCCAATCTGTCCTGATTTCTTAGAATTTTACAATTTGAAATGACTGGATATGTTAAAACAATGTAATCCAGAATTAAATAACCATAATGAGTTCAAATGTATGCACAAAAACGATCACTCTTAGTTCAGGAACAGGTACCACAGTGAGTAAAATTGAATGTGTATAACTTGTGAACACACACTGTACACTTAAAAAAAAAAAAAGAAGCCCTGCAGCTGCTACTGTGCCTGAGAGCAACCACTGCAGTCTGTACCAGGCAACCAGTCAGTTCCCTGGGAGAAAGGTATCCTACTCTTGTGCTTTTTACAGTGGCATCTGATCCTGCATACTCATAACCAAAGCGCCTCTGTTGCGTGTCGAAGGAAATGTCAGGGCCAACAGAGGAACTTGCAAACAACTCCTTCGCGGCCCGGTTGTCCAATGTTTACCTCAGCATCTTGGCACTGTTCTGCTTTAAGCTCTTCATTAAGGTGTCTCTTAACTTGCTGACATACTTCTACATTGTCCGTGGGAACCGTAAAGAGGCTGCCAGGATATCAGCTGAGTTCTATGAATATGGACGACACAGTGAGTACTCCAACAACCTTAAGGGGTCGTTTATGTCTTGAGGTGGCTTCTGTGTCCGACAAACTGCAACATTTTAAGCATGCATATCTGTGTATACAATACAACTGTGTTTACATTGTACACCAAGCAACATACTGGACCTTAGATCAATGGTAGAATTTAACATTGTTTCCTTTAATATCAATATGCTATAATCTTAGCTGACACATTGCCACACAAATCCACACACACACACACACACACACACACACACACACACACACACACACACACACACACACACACACACACACACACACACACACACCACACACACAACACACACCACAGTTTTCCATGTTTTCAAATGAGATTATGAAGGCTTGCTTGCTAGATCCAATGAGTATAAGGAGCCATTAGTTAACATTCAAATTAATAAAACTGTAGATATGAAACGAAAGCCTACTTTTCTTTCATCGGCTTAATAGCTACTTATGAATCCTGAGCAGTACATTTCAATATTAACACGGAGACACTGTTGCTGGGCAGCACTTTTTCCCTAATGTATCTAATTAGAACATAGTCATGATACCCCCACCCCCATCCTGCCCTATTTACCATTCCCCAGCTATGCAGTGCCAACCGCCTTTCCGACTCAGACAGCCAAACCAAAAACAACACCTCCAAACTCTCAGGAGACAGACACTTTCCAAGGCACATTTTTGGAAGGGAGAAAGGGACACCAACGACAACATAATCTTTATCTATCACACAAGACGATGTTAATTAAAGTGGACCTACTCCATGGAATACCTAATTAGCCTTTAGCCTTAGGGGTGTTAGTCACGGTTTCTGTAGATATGGTCTTCCTTTATTATAAGAAATCTGTTCTTTGATGTCTTTTAGCTGGGGGTCTTTAATACTGATATTTCAAATTAATGTCACTCAAAGGGAAAACAGGCCTCATGAATAAAAGAGCTTGAGTTATTAAGAGAACATTAAGCCGAATCATTATCTTATAACATTATTACAATTGAGGAAGGTCGGGTAAGTGGAGAGCCAAGCCATTCGGCGTTATGTCCCTTGGACAAAGGCTCAAGTGGGGCTAAATGAGATTTTTTGGTGTGCCACAAATTTACACCAAATTGGGCCACCGCCAATTTCTCATGTTTTATATTAATGTCTTGTGTGGATTGGAGTGTTTAATGTGCTGAGTCTTACCTGGCATTAGGAGGGATATGAAGGCCTCATCAAGTCACATTAATTCATGCTGCCCCTGCCATTTGAACTCCTTTGGAAATGAAAGGGTAACCAAATATGAACGCTCCATTAACATATAAAGATAATGGAGAGAATAATACATTAGATTTGGGGTTGGGATTTCATTACGCCAGCTCCTAATTTCATTAAATAAACGTTTATAATATTATAATTTATTTTGAAAAAAACTGATCTAATAAGACAGAAATATCAGGTAAGTAAAGTAAGATGTGGAACATTAAATACAAATAGGTTGGCACTGGCAATTATGTACATTTTGTAATTATTCTATTATTGATTCATTTAACATAAACAAAGCATAACCAAATCCGTCAGCGCCAAACCAATACATAACTGGTATGTCCCCTCCATTTCTCGCTGTTCGATTATCCACCACAGGGGAAGCAAAGAATATGTATGTGGCAGTGCAATTAAGAGCTTCTGAACTAATAGCGGTACTTGTAAGCTGTAGTTTAACTTAGTAATTTTGGTTCTGCTGCCATTATTGTAAATTGCTCTGGACATAAATGAATCAACAATATGCCCCCCACGTAAAATGTACAAGCACTGAATTCTTTATTCTCGCTGCAGTACCTGGGGTGACCGCTCCCCCCTCCACGATGCTCGAGTCAGGGCCGCCTCCTGCTCTGAGGAAGGAAATCTCATTTATACAGGTGAACGGAACAAAGTTCCCTGGGAGAGTTATGGTGTCCCCCCCCTGTACATGTGGGGGGTGTGGTTGTAACTGGTCCTTAGTGCAAATTCAATGGGTGGAAATCAGTTCCTTTGTTAGACTCCCTATGTTTAGATGTTGAAGAGAAAAGGAGTTTGGATTGAAAGTAAGAGCATCTAGGGGTATCAAGGGATACAATGTAATGATGTAAATTTGGAACCTGAAAAACACAGATGTATTCCTATGAAATATTGTCCCAAACTCTTTTTGTTCTCTATTGCCAAATGGTTTGGCAATTCCTAACAAGTTACGGCCTGAGAATACATCTCTTCTCTTTTAAAAGTGGAACACAATTGACCAGAACCATATCTACAATGATTTGTATGGATCACACCTACAGATTTGATATTATGTGGCAAATATTGGTGCTCAAGTGTTAGTAATAGATAGGGCCAAAGTCTCTGGCAAACTTGGTATGTAAGAGCAGGTCAACCATCTGTCCATAGAATATCAAATTCTTGTATTTAAGGTTGAAAAGCCTGATGTAAGCCATTCCAATGTACCCCATGACTTTCCAAATCCTAGAACATAACATAGTTTAATCAACATGTTTTATAGTTAAATTAAATACATGCACATAACTCCATAATATACAGTTTTACATAACAATACCAGTAGCCATTCACTTGCTAATGGAATAACAGATAGCAAGGGAGGCCGTGGAGAATGTCCTTTTCCACCCCTCCAGCCCAGACCTGAGTAGTGATGACCCATTTCCAGCTACAAAGCCACCAAAGCCTTGGTCTTAACTCAGGACAAAGCCCCATGACAAAACATTGATATCATAGCAGTATTCTGGGGCATGGTAATTTATTTAGCCTTCCATTGTCTCAGACCGTTAATTAGCAAGCGTATTGAAACTCCTTTGTTCGAAGTGACTTACAGCCATAGTTTGTCAATTACTTGTCAGCCATAAAACTGGGAGGATGCGGTCTGCAATTTGAGAAGAAGATAAGCTTATATGATGTTCTTGTAATCCTGGTGTATCATCCAATAAGAGGTTAACCAATAGGCAAGTATTGCTTAATGCTCCATGACAATAGCATTCTGTTTGCGCAGGGTCAGGCAATGTGATGCTCCTGAACTATAGACCATCGTGACACCTCCCTTCCATGAGGCCCCTGTGTTGGAGACCATCGGCGCTTGTCGCACAGAGCCTCCGTTGAAGGCGGGGGCAAATGTAAAGTCACGCACCTGTCCCTTTAATGTAGGCTATTGCTATGCACCAGGTCAAATGTCATTTCTATGGGCCCTGAGAAAAATCTTGAGGAGAAGTAGGGCGCACACAAAATCGAGCAACACGCTGCGCTCTTCTTCAAACAGTCCCCGTAGAGGCTATTAAGTTGTTGTCTCCTTCAACTCTTCCCCAGGCGTTGCTATTAGTCCAACTGCGAGGTTAAAACAAGGTCTAAATATAACCATTTAAAAACATGTGTTTACGCAGGGTCAATGGCTTCACATTGAATGGAGTCACACGCTCGTTCAATGCCTGTTCAGTGGGCAGTGGTGGGCATCGGCAGGCGGAAATCTTCTGGCAAAATGGAGGCAAAACCCCCAGGCCTTACATATACAATCATTCGCCAATCCACAGCCTAGCAAGCAAAGGTTGTTATTTACGACAGATGCATTAACTAATACCTGTATATCCAGTGAAGTTTTTTAATTGACTTTTTAAATATATGTGTATATCTAAGAAACAGGTTGTCTGCTGTCAGAAGTTCAAGGTTTAAGGGCAATACTTACCGCAATTAAACTAATATGTGGATTATCTGTGTGAGCCACAAAATACGATGAATGTCTACCCTCATCACAGCTAACCTAGACTTTCAAACCTGCTTTGTGTCCCTTGCTGTGGCTATAAGCACGTTGTAACAACCTGCACTGTGAACAAAAGCTTTCAGAAGTAAATCCAACATCGACGAGCCAGCACCAGCTAAAGAATGATTGCGCACTTGTCAACTACTGATACTGTCCCTCATGCTCGGCATTACTTCCCAGGGCATACGGCTGTGTTAGCATCTGGTGACGCTTGGGGCCAGATGTGACATGCACATCCTCACCCTGGGCACAGCGCTCTATACGCCGCCCTCGTCTGCGCCAAGACGGAGTGTCCAGGAAACTCCCCCCTGAGGGAAGGTCAGCTCGGCAGCTCGTGGAATTCCTTTGGCATATGGCAGATGTCCCATGTATTAGAAATTCTCAGCACAAGCTCATTATCCTGCTCCAAAAAGGAAATAAACACCATGCATCGGCACCTGGATTTTAAAAACGCTCTATAAACAGCATTAGACCATGAAAA